TTGCCATAAAGGAATACCTGAGACTGGGCAATTTATGAATAAAGAGGTTTATTTTGGCTGATGGTTCTGTGAGACTGTACAAGGAGTATAATGCTGGTATCTGTTTCCGGTGAGGGCCTCAGGAATTACAATCATGGCAGGAGGAGAGGAGCCAGCATGTTACATGGTGAGAGAACGAGAGAGAGAGAGAGGAGGTGCCAGGTTGTTTTTTGTTTGTTGTTTTTTGTTTTTTGTTTTTTTTTGAGACTGAGTCTTGCTCTGTTGCCCAGGCTGGAGTGCAGTGGTGTGATTCTCAGCTCACTGCACACCTCCACCTCCTGGGTTCAAGCAATTCTCTTGCCTCAGCCTCCCAACTAGCTGGGACTACAGATGCGATGCATGCCACCACACTGACGAATTTTTGTATTTTTAGTAAAACGGTTTCAAGATGTTGGCCAGGATGGTCTCCATCTCCTAACCTTGTGATCTGCCACGCTTGGCCCCCAAAGAGCTGAGATTACAGGCTGGAGCCACCGTGCCTGGCACCCAGGTTCTTTTAACCAGATCTCATGTGAACTCAGAGTGAGAATCATTCATTACCACAGGGACAGCACCAAGACATTCACAAGGATCCACCCCCATGATCCAAACACCTCCCACTAGGCCCACCTCCAACACTGGGGGTCACATTTCAACATGAGATTTGGAGGGGGGGAAAACACCCAAGCCATGTTCATGCTCCAAAAGTTTGTTTAGAGGGATGTTGGCTTCTCACAGGAATCCCGTTCTGATTCACTCCAAATGAAGTCCACCAACGTTTATCCCAACTCAAACATAACATGCACATACAGGAATCTGCTATGAGTTTTGATAACACTAATAGGAAAGACAATGAATTTGGGAATCTGAATTGCATTGTACAGACTTCTAGTGATCCTAAAAGGGACGGCATTCAGAAAGGAAAGTTGTGTAGCACAGCTCTTTTGAGTGTTGTTACACATATTTCAAAACGATGAGGAATAGAGTAATACAACGTGCCAGGTGTAATACTGCCGGGGCCCCGCGGTGGATCCTCAGGAGTAGAAATCACTGTAGCAGAGGACAAAATGAGGCCATGAAATCTGGTTAAGCCAGACTGGATGCCTAGAGGGTAGCTGAGGAGCAAAAGGAAGCTGCAGCAGGCCAGAGACCTAGCCAGTACTAAAAGCTGGGTCCATGAATGGCTTCTTGAAACGGTGTGTGGTCATGCTTAGCTGAGCATGCTGTGGGACTCATGATGTTGGAAAATGAGGGGGCAATGAAGACTTCAAGATGGGATGGAAAATGATGCAAGAACAGCTAAAAGAAAGAAAAAAAAGAAAGAAAATAGAAGGGGAAGACGAAACGAAAAAAAAAGAAAGAAGCTGGCCAAGGTGGCTCATGCCTGTAATCCCAGCAATTCAGGAGGCCAAGGTGGGAGAATCACTTGAGGCAAGAAGGTTGAGACCAGCCTGGGCAACACAGCGCGACCCTTGTCTCTACAAAAACCTTTTTAAAAAAATTAGCTGGGCATGATGGCACACACCTGTAGTCCCAGCTATTCAGGAGGCTAAGGTGGGAGGATCACTGGAGCCCTGGAGTTCAAAGGTGCAGCAAGCTATGATTGTGCCGCCACACCCCAGCCTGGGCAGCACAACCAGACCCTGTTAAAAAAAAAAAAAAAAAGGGAGCAGGTAGAGAAAAAAATTTTTCCAGAATTTTTTACGATTAAAAAATATAGCTATTAAGAGTAATGACACCAAAAAGATTTCTGAATCAATTCCCAAAGCATTTCTCTATTTCTCTCATCTCTTCTGAAAAAGTTCTAAAAACACAACTCCAAAGATGAAATGGAAGTTAATGGTAAACAAGGCAATAGAGCTGAATATGTAGTTTCAGTAACTCAGAATTTGCTCCATCCTCTGCTCTAAAAAAGCTTAGCTACAGAAGAGCAGTTACCTTTGAAACTTTTGCCCCAACATAAAGATATCCAGAATGTGAAGCTGCCATTAAAAATGTTGACATAGGCCGGGTGCAATGGCTCACACCTGTAATCCCAGCACTTTGGGAGGCTGAGGTGGGCAGATCATGAGGTCAGGAGATCGAGACTATCCTGGCTAACACGGTGAAAACCCGTCTCTACTAAATATACAAAAAATTAGCGGGGCATGGTGGCAGGTGCCTGTAGTCCCAGCTACTTGGGAGGCTGAGGCAGGAGAATGGCGTGAACCCAGGAGGCGGAGGTTGCAGTGAGCCGAGATTGCACCACTGCATTCTGGCCTGGGTGACAGAGCGAGACTCCATCTCCCAAAAAAAAAAAAAAAAATGTTGACACAAACCTTAATTTACTGATATGTGAAAACATCCCTAAAGTTCTAAAGGCAAGCTACAGAATCATATCAACCATCTAATATGTCTGTAGCCTAAACGCTAGTCGGCAGTTGATCTGCAAGCGGGATTAGGAAATATTTCAGAGCCAGCATCTCCTCGCACCATCCAGGTACCTACACACTTGAGGCCACCGAGTCACCTGCGCAGCCCTTGCTCCTCCAAGACCAACCAAGGCTCCTCACGCCCACGGGCCTGAATCTGGAGGACAGCAGTCTGCCTGACAACAGCAGCTCGGAGATCTCAACCTAAGGACAGAAGGAAGATGCATAAAATGAAGAGGGGAAAGGAGTGGGTAACTAGCAAGTGCCCTCATCTGTCATCACATCACTCATAGCAGACTTGGTCAAATGGTTGACCTGTGGGAGCTGTAGAAAATCTTTGACTCTGGGTATGAGTAATTCCCCTTCCAATCTTATAGTGTCCAAGGAAGAAGTTAGTAGCTCCAGGATCGCTGAGACCAACCTGGGTGGCCTACAAGACTGTGCCGTGGCGACAGGCTGCATACTCAGCAGCAAGAAGACAGAGCACCAAAAAACACAGACTAGAATGGGGTCAGCCATCCAGGTGGCTGGTGGCCACTGCCTTTGTTGATGCAGATAAAGAGCATTTTCATTCCTGCAGAGTTCAATGGGGCAGTGCTGCTCTAAAGGCTGACATTTCCATCCTCAGCACTTCCCCCCGCTATTACCTAGGTTCATTCTGCTGCTTCCACAAGACAAGGATGGAAAAGGATGCCTTAGAGCAACGGTCAGCAAACTGTTTACATAAAGGGACAGATAGAAAACATCTGAGGCTCTGTGAGCCATCTAGTCTCTGTTACAATTACTCAACTCTTACATTGGAGGTGGGGTGAGAGCAGCAATAGACAGTAAGTAAATAAATGAATGTGGTTGTGTTCCAATAAAATTTTATTAACAAAATACGACAGTGGGGGGGCCATAGTTTGCCAAACCCTGCCTTGGAGGACATGCAGAGGCACCTTCAGAATTCAGTGAAAACCTGCTCCCATATTGCTAAGACTCATGAAGTATAATCTCTCACCTTCTTTCTCTTTCACCTGCCCAGGCCCTAAGTTAGGGTTCCCATCCATATAACAAAGACTCCTGGTCATGTGGCATTTGCTATCTCTGAGATTCCCTGACTACCCATGAAAGCCACAAAGAGATTGCTTCTTTTACACATCCTGAAGCATATTATGGCCCCAGCAAGGCTAACTAAATCAAACTATGGTTTAAAAACAAAACAAACCAACCACTGTGAAATACTTATTTTTGTTTTGTAGTATTAAGCATGATTAAACCAGTGCAGAAAAATACTAAGTACATTGGGTAAAAGATGAGCTAGCTCTTCTAATACTTGCTTTTTGTAACCCAGTTAAGACCATAAGCATATACAACATCATCACTAACTCAACAGTGTAGCTGCAGGATAACGTGGATACCCTGTATGCTCTACTGGCCTCCAAAGGCATTCAGGGGATCATCAAAGATGTTGGACACCTCGTGTTCCGATCTTGGTTCAGGTGCGGCTTGTGCAGATCGACTTTTTGGTTTGGTTGTCTTAGCCTGGATACCAGAGGAGAAGATGTCATCTTTAGAAAGAAAAAAGAAAAACAGTTGCTGAAGAGGGGTGGGGAAAGGTACTTTTAAAACACATGCAAGCAAACCACCAAAGACCCAGCTGTGGTAACAGTATAGAGTACCCCAAAACACTAATCTAGAACTCAAGCCTCTTAGATTCTGGTCCTGTGTTTGTTACTCATTAAGTTTTATGATCACACACAGGTTTCTCTTGGAGCACAATTTCTTCAGCAACAAAAGTGTCTGTATGTGCGTGTGCAGGACAGACAAAAGGGAAGGGTAACTTGATCTCCAAACCAGACCACGCCCCTACCATCGGGGACAACGGACTTATTTAGACATTCTTTTCACACCGGGTTTTAAAAGAGCAATAAAAATATGCAAAGGGAAATCCAACATAGGACCCACCTGTTTTCTTTCAGAATAAATGCACTGATTTGAGGCATCTCATGTAAGACCGTAAGCCTCTGTCGCTGCATTCGTTTAATGTTTCACTGACTCAAAAGCTTGTCTTACCTAATTATGGTACATACCCAGTAATGTTACTGCTAGGGTTTTATCCAACCATGATTTTAGCATATATACATAAAGTTAGGTGTACACAAATGGTAAAGACCACAGCATTATTTGTAATAAAGAAAACAGAAACAATCAGGATCTCAGTCAACAGGCTAATGGCGAAATACAAAGAAATCGTGCACACCACTGAAAACAAGGAAGGAGATCTCTATGTACTGACATGAAAAGACATGAAGTGAAAGAGCAGAAATACATTCTTACTTTTCAGAAATATATTCTTACTTTTAAAAATATATTCTTATATATATTTATAAATACATTCTTTTTTAAAAGGTGGTTATATATTGATGTGTACACAAACATGTATTAATATCACTGTGTCTGAACGGATACACATTGAACTGTTACTATTACCTCCAGGGGTTATTCACTTTGTACATTTTCTGAATTGCATGAATCTATTACAATAAGCATGTATGACTTTTGTGTATTTAAAATAATGAATGAGTTATTCTGCCCTCCATGTGCTTGCTCGAGGCACAGAGCCAGTGTGACTCTCCAGCACCAGCTGTCTCCCAGTTAGCCTCAAGGTCTAGATTGATTGGGGGTGTAGGAAATGTGTATGTGGCCTCAGCCCATGTGCTCTCTACCAACGCGGGATTGATCAAAAGTCCAATATTTAGGGTTCTCGCACATTTGCCTTGTTTACCAACAAAGCAGAAGTTGTGCCACATAAAGACGATGATCTTGTTCCCAAACACCAAAGACCTCAGTGAGATGCAACGCCTGAGGTAGAGCCTACCCCCAGGTCTAGTCTTGCTCTCTTCTTGCACAGAACCATGGACACTCCCTCTCCATCTGGAGCTCTGACTCAACCAACCACATCAACCAACCACATCACACCCAAGGCAGTCCCCTCAGCCTACTTTAGCATGTGAGGTCATTTCTGATCAAACCTCCTTTCATAACATCAGGGTGTGCCACAGACGATTGGTGAGGTGCACTGAGATCAAAGGTAAATTATACTTAAACGTCAAACTCTGGGTGCCTTCAAATTCTTTGATGACCAACATAGGAGTTACTTCACTAAAATAATTAGTCCATCTCTTACCTATCTTCAGCCTAACTCAGGATTACACTGAAGTGAACCTGCTGGGGTGCATTTTCCAGAAAAGGGCCAAGAAAAGGTAGCAGGAAAAATACCAAGTGACGGAAAGTTAAGGATTCTCTAGGTCAGACGTAGAAAACCAAACTTACCCATATCATCATCAAATATAGACTTGGCTTCCACTTTCTTTTTGGACTTTTCTTTTGGTTTTACAGTTAAGTCAGCAAAGATATCAATGTTATCATCAAATAAATTGGATTCCAATGTTTTCTCCTTCTCTCTGGTTTTCTGAGAGGGTTTAATTGCTTCCGTAGCAAATATATCATCCTTGTTAAGTCAAAAATACATACAATGTTAAATCAATTTTTCTTTTTAAACTCAAACATTTCAACAAGCTATGGAAATGCAAATGGCCAGGGTGTTGTGGAACAGCCTTGAGACTGCCCCCTCTGCCTGGGATGTACTAACCTAGATGTCTGCACAGCTTGGCCCACCCATCTCACCCCGGCTCAAATGCCGGCATTGCAGTGACACCTTCTCTACCAGTCCTGCCTAAAGGAGCACCTCCTACCCCTACCAACCACTCTGCCCCAGGTTATTTTCTTCATGACACTTAGTACTATTTGAAAACATCTTAATTTTCCATTGCCCTGTTTGTATCTCATTATCTTCCCAGAGAGCTCTGAGGAGCCTAGCACTTCTCTGAGCTCACCTCGTACCTGCAGGCCCCAGGTGCTCAATAAACATCTGCTGAGCAAATGCCACTGAAAGTCTTATTGCCTGCACTAAACTGTGAGCTCCAGCCAGGGCCAATGTCCCCAGAACCACAGGTTAAACTCTCAAGCTGGACTGGTGGAGCTATATGCATGTCACCGAGTGGCATGCCCAGGAAGCTGATTACAATATTCTATAAAAATTAAAAAACTGCAAAAACTAGACAAACCAAGACCTGCATCAACGATTGTGGCCAGCCAAGAAATACATTCTACATGAAACAAAACAAAAAGCCACTTCTGAAACAATGTTAGACTTATTAATAAAAGAGCCTAATTATAATTACTAAGCAGATGGCTATGGGGTATGCATGCAACAAGTTAAACATAATCCATGGCTTAAATAAGCCAATCAGATACCCTCCTTAACTTAGACACAAAAACGTGTTAAGTCTTATTACCTCAAAAATATCTTGTGTTGTTGATATGACATCCTGCTGACTACTGGATTTTGTTTCATTTTTCTTGACTTTCTGATCTGTAAAGAGGTCATCCTCATCTTCCAGGAGAGGAAAGGGATTTGTTTTCTTTGCTGGTTTTGGTTTCGCAGACTGAAAGAGATCATCATCACTGCTGGCCTCGCCTAGAGCAGGAAACACGGGGCTTTTTGCTTTACCACCCACTGGCAGGTTGGCAGAATTCTCTGCTATCTTTGCCTTGGGTTTTGTTCTCTCCGTGGACTGAGATCCAGTGCCCGTGGAAAAGATGTCCCCAGAATCAAAAAGGTCAGCCTCCCCTCTGGACTTTGCAAAGGGGCTTCTGTCCACTCCAGGCACAGGAACACCTTCCCAAGGTGCAGCGGCAGCTGCCAGGGCCTCCTCAGTGCTGTCTTCTCCACTGGCTGCTCTGAGCTGTGGCCGATGGCCATTTGCGGAAATGGCACCATCAGCCCACTGTGCAATGGGTCCTCTGGGGACACTTATGTCCTGAGCCTCGCTGGACTCCTGGGCAGCCAGCCGCCTAGCTGCACGGGTCTGTGGTCTACGCTTCCCTCTCATCTTGACACGGCTCTGCAATGGCAAAAAAGCACACATTCATCTAATGATAAAATAAAGTGTTCAAAGCTACCATGGCAAAGAATCAGTGACTCAAAATACTGTAAGGTTATCTGGTTTACTTCAATGAAGATATTATCGAAGAACACAGAAGAGGTTATTTCTTAATGATTTCCAAGGAAGGTGTTTAATAGCTCCTAGTACTCCAAGACTAAGTCATTCTTAATCCTTTAGAGTTCTCCATTTTTTAATATTTTCAGGGCAGTTCAGTTTGACACAAAAAGCTTCACCTGTTGCTGGAAACCTGGAAAGTAGGCATGTTGGCTCTCTGTGTCTCACAACCCCTCCCTTGGCCCCTACTCTGCCTTCAATAGAAACGTGGGTATCTTTCCAAACAAGAAAGAATCGGGGAATTCTGGTACTAACCTTTGTTAGGGGGCTAGTCTAAATTCTGGCTCCAGGAGCAGGGAGAAATACAAGACAATAAAGAGAGGTAATCTAAGGTGCTGTTTTCTTCAAGTCAATAAACATTAAATTCAAATGTTAAGTATTCCACATAAGAAATACGGTTTAGAAATCAGAACTTTTAATATAATCTCAAAACACAAATCACTTAGTAGCAATGATGCAGTGTTTATGATATTTTCCAAAATATACAATCAAGTAGAATTTTGAGAAGCTACAACCTACTTTGGGCAAAGTATGATTGTGTTGCCAACTTCAGGGGAATGTCACAATTTTAGTTGCCAATTTAAACCTAATAAAAAAAAAGCCAACGAAAACTGTCATAAAAGGAAGGCTGTTTTGTTTTGCACAACGAAACAGGTTTGGAAACATTTGAAATGAGTCTATTTGCCAGGGTTAGGTCATTCTGTGTCCTGTCGCTTACTTGGAGATCAATTAAGGCTTTCCAGAGAAGGGAGACTGGATAGAAACAAGAAACCCAACTAAAATGAAAGGAAAACGTCAAAGAGTTCACAGTTCATTGAGGAGATCCCATGAAACAGCGTCGCTGCTGTGGGAACTTGTGCGGGGAGTGCAGGGCACAGTGACAGAAGTGGGGATGTGGAAGCACAGGTGTGGATGGAGAGGAGCATTCCTGGTGAGGAGGCAGCAGAAGCCTTGGGAAGCAGCAGAACAGACCATGTGTGTTCAGGGAGTGGCACCTGGTATGCCTGAAGTCAGGCTGGAAAGTGTGCAGTGACTGGTGAGGAAGCTGCATACATGGGCTGGCACCAATTGTAAAGGGGTTTCATACCAAACCTAGGAGCCTGAATGCTCTCCTCGGAGCAGTAAGGAAGCATCAGCAGGAAGGGCATGATCTGCTCTGTGGTTAGAAGACCCCCAGGTGGCAGTGCTGGAAACCTGCAGGTGTCAGACACCAGCCAAAGTGGTGAGACATTACTGTGGCTACTGAGCAGAATGCAAATGTATCAAATACAGGCCATGGAAAAGCAGGTGCAGGATGAGAGGGGGTGGGGAGAATGGAGGGAGCGGCTGAAGGAAGGATGAGGCACCCCATTCAAAAGGAGAGTCAAAGACTGCTGTGTATGCAATCGATAAACTAGAAAGAAGCAGACGCATATTCCGGTTAAAAGAAGACAGCAAGGAAGCAAAGATGGTTTCATCACCTTGTTTGCACTGTGTAAGGTGTCTGCCTGAGCTGGAAGATCAAAACTCACACCGGCCTCCCCACTCCTGGGAAGAACAGGCACACTTTCCAGACCGTGGCTCCTTCTGTGTTCAGATGAAGGAAAAGCCAATTCTGGCAAAACAGGCTTTACTTCAGAGATCTGGGGAGCCGCTGTGGGCAGCAAGGCCGCGGGGTTGATCGCTAAATTTGCCTAAAGAAGAAAAATGAAACTCTGTATTTGTTCTTCAACACAGCAGTCTATTATCTTTACTCTGACACATGACGAGACTCGGTGCACATAATGTATAATACGAGAGGAGAAGAGAAACGTAGGAAAATCGCCTCATCTAGTCTCAGAATTAAAACAGAGGGTCTTACACCTATGCCCACCACTGGGCTCAAAGAATAGATGTTAAAGACGCAGCACACAAGAGACAACTAGGTGCGGGGGAGGGGAGGCGGGGGAAGAGATGAGAAGATGCTTGGCAGCAGCTGACAAAAGTAGGAAACCCAAAAAAGTTTATAGATGCCACAGGGCAGGCAATGAAGATTCCAGTGTTTTAATTACTTGTATTTTCCCGATCCGAGTGGATGGTTCTTTGGTTTTAAATGGAGCGAGACCTGATGATTCCTGTGTGAAATTACATCCAGTTAAAAATCCATTGGGGAAACAGAAAGACAAGTGTTTCTTATGCCTGTAAATAAATCTGTGATGGAGCAGAACTGTCACTTTCTGCAGCTCTTTAATGGGAAAGGCATTCAAATCTCTCCTGGGGTCTGTCGTTTCACTAGCACTACTTCATGTATGCCTCCTCCTCTGTCACATAAGTGGAAAACTCTCAGATCAGATGTAGAGTCAAGGAACACAGGATGAGTAAGATTCCCAAGAATCACAGTTTATCAGAGCACCTAAAACTGACCAGCAGGCAAAATTACCATGTTGGTTATCAAATACAAATTTCAAGGAGCACACAGAAATGCACCCATAGCCTAATGCACTGGTCCTAAAAGCAAAAGATCTGAGCCCCAGGAAGGGTCAGTGGTGACGTGCTGGTCCAAGAGCCTCAGGTTTACAGCTCAGGACACTAAGGCTTCAGTGAGACACCCTGGGACACCTGCACATGAAACTGGCACTTGCTCTCCAGTCCTGGTCTGTTCCCAGGAGGAGCTCCACAGCGTTCTGAGAAGACTGCTGCAGAGTAGGGCCCAACAGCAATGACCTCGGAAGAGGCAACACTGAGAGCAGCCAAGAAATCAGATGTAATTTATATTTATTTCTATTTTAATTCCATTCCAAGGAAATCCAGAGGGGGAAATAAATGCTTTAGTGGGAAGAAGATTCTTCATCCTACCTTAACTCCACTTTAGAGTCAAATCTGGCATGGCATCAAAAAACACTAACTATTAAAATACAGATTTGTGACACCCTGAGGTGTGGAGCAAGGAGAGGGGAGATGACTCGCGGGGAGTGCAGTGAAGACAAAGCGGTAACCCTGGTTGCTATTTCCTCCTTAATGCAGACAAGTCTGAATAACTGTGGGTCTGCATGATGGAATTTCTCTGTACTGGGATGCAAACAAGAGTTGAAAATCCTTAAAGAGCATTTCTAACCTGAGGTGTTTCCGGCTTCCATAGGCCTTTTTCTTTACTACCTTGAATGGATTCAGGATGTTTCTGGTTTTTGAAAGAGTCAACAGAGTGGTCTTTTTTCACTACTCTCTTTTTCTCTTGTACCTTCAAAAGAAAAAAAAATACCAAAATCCATCAAATATCTTAGAAAATGTAAGGAAAAATCATAATGCAAAAAACAATCCTGGCTTCTGAGTCTTAAAAATACTTTCTCAAATGAGGGCTGAACCAACTCAAAGGTAGCATTTCAGAAACAGCATTCTGAAGACTGCGGCTGTCACAGGAGTTCTCTCTATGATAAAAAGAAAACAGAGTACTTACAAAAACCTATTGGGGCTGGGGGAGAAAATGACATAGGAAGGCTAAAACTCAGACTGAAAGCTTTGCACCTGAAAGGCATGAATATTTAGTCACCCCAGTGTATGCAATGGTCTTTCAATCAACCATTTAAACAACACACAGATGTATAGTACAGTTAAGACAGCCTGGATTGTTAATGTTTTAATGTTAGTATAGGGAACCTAAGATGGGGAACAACAGAAACTAAGCACTGCATCCTCCACACACGCCCCCCTCCGCATGTTATTTGCCATTCATTTAGTAGGAAGCACCACGACTATCCTAGGATTTTCCTTAATCACCTAACTGGACGTTAGTTTCCTTTCCTGGAATCTTTCCCACACAACCTGGTATTGAGAACAAAAGGCTGGTACCAAAGGCTGGGACTTGGCAGAGCTGAAAAGATCATCAACTTCATCATCCCCGAACAGGCTCCCAACACTTGGCTCTAACAGCTAGAATAAACAAGACTCAAGTTCAATATCCAAAAGCAAAACAATTTACAAAGAGAACTAGGTGAGCTGCTGAGACGGTACCCAATATAATAACAAAGCCATAATGTGGGGAACCATTTGGAACTGACCTTGGGTTTTTTGGTGCCAGCGAAAAGGTCAACATCTGGGTCATTGTCCTTTTGGAGCTTGTGGCTGAAAAGGAGCTCTTCATCCTGGAAGACACCTGTGCTCTTGGGGCGGGTATCAGGATCGCGGCCCTGGGAATAGGAAGGAAGGTCACGTGTGATTAGAGCTGTAAGAACTTATCTCAAGGAAGTTACACATGTAAAGATGGACACAACAAAGATGTCCTCTGCAGCTGTATTATATTAGCAAAAGGCTGGCCACAGCCTAAAAGCCACTCAGTAGGGGCATGAAACATTAACAAAATTGAATACTATGGCGCTTCCAAAAATAGCAGAGAATATATTTATAAATACAAAATTATATATATATACACACAAAGCAATCTGTTAGTTCCATAATGAGAAACATTTTGACGATAAGAAACACACAACTGAATGAATTCTCTCCATCTCATTCCCAAAGGGAAGAAGAGACAGCAGCTGACTCACGCACAAACTACACAGAGTGGTCAAGTATGTATTCCTCACCTATAAGCACTGCAGACCAAAGACCTGGCACAGGTGTGACCACAAGCCTTCCCATGCCCATCCATCACTTCTGCCCTACTTTCAGACTCCAAGTGAGTCCCTTTTTGTTTACTACATATCTAACATTTAAAAGTTACCATCAACATTATTGGTTTGATAATATAATGCTCTAGACCTGACATTCTTTATCCCTATTTCTTTAGTATCACAGCCACAGATTAAAACTTAACAAAAAGGCCAGGTATGGTAGCTCATGCCTGTAATCCCAGCACTTTGGGAGGCTGAGGGGGGCGGATTACCAGAGGCCAGGAGTTTGAGACCAACCTGGCCAACATGGTGAAACCCCATCTCTACTAAAAATACAAAGATTAGCCAGGCATGGTGGCGCGTGCCTGTAGTCCCAGCTACTCGGGAGGCTGAGGCAGGAGAATCCTTGAACCTGGGAGGCAGAGGCTGCAGTGAGCCAAGATCACGCCATTGCACTCCAGCCTGGGCAACACAGTAGGACTCCATCTCAAACAAACAAACAAACCAAAAAAACCAACTAACCAAAAACTTACTTCTAACAAAATAAATCACATTAGCAATAATTATTATTGTCATACATAAAAATGAGTTTAACAGAGCAAGTAAGGTTAAACATTTCACAACCATGGACAAACATTACAAAACCATACACAGTAAGAGACTGGGAGAATATATATCGAATTAATCATATTCACTGTGTGCAGCTCTCATTTATAAATAGGCTTATAGTATTAGAATAACAAAAAAATTCATAAAACATTTTTTGTAGAAATAAACATAGACTATTTCTTCAGTTAGATCTATAAAAAGGATTGGCAATCTATGACCTGCCAAACTCGTTTGCATAACATCACCAATGAGATTAAATTCATCTAACATAAAATCTACCCATTTACAGTATACAATGTAATGATTTTTTGGTATATTCAGATTTGTGTAACCACTACCACAATCTAAGTTTAGAACATTCTCATTACCTCCAAAAGAAACCCCAAACCATTAGCAGTAATTATCCATTCCTGCTCACTGCCACTCCCAGCCCCCAGTACCTACTAATCTACTTTCTGTCTCCTTCGATATGCCTATTCTGGACATTTCATATAAATGGAATCATATAATATGTGGTCCTTCATGACTGGTTTATTTTATTTAGAAAGTTTTCAAGGTTCATCCATGTGGCAGCATGTATCAGTACTTTGCCTTTTTTATTACCAAATAATATTCCATTGTATGGATATACTATATTATGTTTAGCCATTGTTTCCATCTTAAGGCTATTATGAATAACACTGCTGGGAACAATCACATTCAAGTTTTGTGTGAACATATGTTTTTATTTCTCTTGGGTATGTACCCAGGAATAAAATTCCTGGATTGTGTGGTAGCTCTATGTTACAAGAATTTGAAGAACTGCAAACTGTTTTCCAAAGTGGTTGTACTGTTCCACATTTGCAGCAGTAAGGAGAATTTCCATTTCTCCACATTCTTACCAACACTCGTTACTTCCCTTTTTTGTTTATTACGGTCCTCTTCTCGGGTATGAAGCAGTATGTCACTGTGGTTTTGGCTTCCCTGACACTGAGCATCCTTCCGTATGCTTTTTGGCCATTTGTCTATCTTCTTTAGTAAAATCTCTATTCAGGTGTCTGTCCTATTTTTTTTCAGGCTAGAGTACAGTGGTGTGATCACAGCCCACTGCAGCCTTGAATTCCTGGGCTCCAAGGACTCTTCTGCCCTAACTTCCCAAGGAGATAGAACTATAGGAGCACACAACCAGTCCCGGCTAATTTTTAAAATTTTTTGTAGAGACAGGATCTCGCTATGTTGCCCAGGCTGGTCGTGAACTCCCGGCCTAAAGCCATCCTCCTGCCCTGGTCTCCCAAAGTGCTGGGATTACAGACACGAGCCACAATCCCTGGCCTATCCCTTCTGCCCTATCCCTTCTTTCATCTGGGCTATTTGTCTTTTTAATATTGACTTATAAGTCTTTTACATATTCTGGATCTAAGTCCTTTATCAAATACATGATTTGCAAATCTTTTCTCCCATTTTGTGGGTGGTCGTTTGACTTTCCAGATGGTGCCCTTTGAAGCACAATGTTTTTCATTTAAATAAAGTCCAAGGTAGCTATTTTTGTCACTTGTGCTTTTGGTGTCTTATCTAAGAAGGCTTTGCCTAATCCAAGGTCATGATAATTTATTCACATACTCTCTAGATTCTTGGAGTTGTACAGTTTTAGTTTTTACATTTGGATCTTACATTGGATCTGAGTTTGTTTATTAATGGGTCCAACTTCATTCCTTTGCATGTAGATAATCAGCATCCTGGCACATCTGCTGAAGACTATTCTCTTCCCACTGAAATATCTTGGCACCTTAAGCAACTGACTGTAAATGTGAGGGTTTATTTCTAGACTCTCAATTCTACTTCACGGATCTACACATTTTAACCTTATGCCAATACCACCCTGTCTTAAAGTAAGTTTTGAAATCAGGAAGTGTGAGTCTTCTAACTTTGTTCTCCCAAGACTGTTGGCTATTCTTGGTCTCTTACACTTCCGTAAAAATTCTAGGATCAGCTTGTCCATTTCTGCAAAAAGCAAGCTGGAATTTTGATAGAGATTACAATAAATCAATCTGGGAAGGAAGTATTGCCACGTTACGAATATTAAGGTTTCTGGTCCATAAACACGAGATGTCTTTCCATCTATTTTAGGTTTTTAATTTCTTTCAATGTTTTGTAGATTTTAGTTTACAAGTCTTGTACTTCTTTTGCTAAATCTACTCCTAAGTATTTTACTCTTCTTGGTATTACTATAAAAGAAACTGATTTCTTAATTTCATTCACAAGCTAGTAATTGCTCATGAAAGTTACTACTAGTAAACCGGGTGTGGTGGCTCATGCCTGTAATCCCAGCACTTCGGGAGGCTGAGGCAGGTGGATCACCTGAGGTCAGGAGTTCGAGATCAGCCTGGCCAACATGGTGAAACCCCATCTACTAAAAATACAAAAATTAGCTGGACATGGTGGTGGGTGCCTATAATCCCAGCTACTCGAGAGGCTGAGGCAGGAGAATCGCTTGAACCCAGGAGGCAAAGGTTGCAGTGAGCTGAGATTGTGCCATTGCAATCCAGCCTGGGGGACAAGAGTGAAACTCTGTCATAAAAAGAAAAAAAAAAAAAAGGAAAGTCACTAGTAGTAACTTTCATAAGCTAGTAACTGTTCATTACTAGTTTACAGAACAACTGATTTTCACATATTGATCTTACTACATCCTTCAATCTTAATGAATATAATTATTTCCAATGGATGTTTTTGTAGATTCCTTAAGACTTTCTATATAAAAGATCATGCCATCTGCAAACAGTTTGTTTCACTTCACTTTTTCCTTTCCAATCTGAATGCCTTTTATTTCATTTTCTCACCTACATGCCCTGCTTAGAATCCCCAGTACAAGGTTGATTAGAATTACCAAGGGTGGACATCGTTGTGTTGTTCATGATCTTAGGGTTGAAACACACGCAGTCTTTCACCATTAAGTGTGATGTCAGCTGTGGGATTTTGTAGATGTCCTTTATCAAGTCCATTAAGCTCCCTCCTATGCCTAATTGAGTGCTTTATCATGAAAAGGTTTGGATTTTATTAAATGCTTTTTCTGCATCTGTTGAGATGATCGTGTGCCTTTTAATTCTGTATTTTATTGATACAGTGTATTATATCAATTGATTTTAGATGTTCAACAAACCTTGCATTCCAGGAATAAATCTCACTTCTCATAATGTGCAATCCTTTTTCTATTTTGCTAAACTGGGTTTAGTAGTATTTTTTGTTGAAGATTTTGGCCTCTACATTTGTAAAGGGTATCTGTAGCTTTCTGGTGATGTCTCTGTCTAGTTTTAATATCACAGTCATCCTTAACCTTACAGAATGACCATCACCTGTTTTTTTTTTTTTTGAGATGGAGTCTCATTATGTCACTAGGCTGGAGTGCAGTGGTGCGATCTCGGCTCACTACAACCTCCAACTTCCTGGTTTAAGCAATTCTCCTGCCTCAGCCTCCCGAGTAGCTGGGATTACAGGCACGTGTCACCATGCCAAACTATTTTTTGTGTTTTTAGTAGAAACAGGGTTTCATTATGTTGGCCAGGATGGTCTCGATCTCTTGACCTTGTCATCCATCCGCCTCGGCCTCCTAAAGTGCTGGGATTACAGATATGAGCCACCATGCCCGGCTGACCATCACCTATTTTTATTAATAAAACTTATTGGAACACAGGCATGCCCATCCATCTTCATGCTTCCTAGGGCCGTTTTCATGCTGCCAATGGCAGAGCTAGGCAGTTATGAAAGAGCCCAAATAGCCTGCAAAAGCTAAAATAGTCATTATATGGTCCTTTATAGAAAAAGTTTGCTGACACCTAATCAGTATGAAAGGTTCATCTACAACACTTTTTCTTAAACTGAATGTTAGAAATACTTAACTGTACAGCTCCAGCCTAACTTCCCTTTCCTGTTGCTTACATCCCACAACTGGCCAAGGGGCAAAGCTTTGCTAGAAGGAACAACAAGGTCTGTAAATCCCGGAAGAGGTGGGTGAAATTCTAATCCCCTATCCTAACACTGCTACCTGAGGTAAGAGTTCCTGATTAAGATTCCCAAATATCTAATTACTGCAGAGAATCATTAACACGCTACAATGAAGGTTAAGATTCCTTCAGAAACTCAAATGACAGAACAACCACCATGAGATGAGAATCTTTTATCTCATCTAGAGACTTGAACTGCTATTGCTTTTTGCTTACCTTTCCTACTTCTTTCTGGGGAGCCTGGATAGTGTTTTGATCTTCCATTTTATCCTCTTCCTCATCAAACAAGCTAAGAACAGTTTTGGTTCTAGCCTTGGTTCCTTTGTCCAATGGGGATGATGAAGAAAATAAATCAGAACGCTTGACTGCTTCCTGAGCAGATCTAGTCAAAAGTCCTTCCTGAAAAGGAAAATAATAGGGGGGAAAAAATAAGTAACACCTGGAAATATAAATCCTATCATGGAGCATGCCAAGCTCCTCATTAATTCAGTAACTGCCACATTTGCATGACTCAGGGCACAGTGAATCACATCTGCTTCCAACTCTTGATTAGCTGCTCCAAGAGACGGTCTTGTACAATCATTCATAGCCAAAGATAATTTTTCCAAGCAGTTTAAGACCATGGGTCCCTCTCTCCTACCCAGTGATAGGACAGCTATGATCCTGATGCACACTGGTTGATCAGGAACTAGGAAGAACTTCTAAGTGACAAAGATAACACAAGTGCAAATCATTGGGAGTGGACCATGAATTTGCAGCATTTAACTAACACATAAGCCCCGAGGGGAAATCTAATCGGGAAAATCCAACCCTCAAATTGTAGAAGGCTTACACTGTACAGACAATTGAAGAAGAATCTCTCAAATAATTCTAAAATGCAGCATTTATTCATTCAACAAGTAGCACATTTCAGGTAAGATACCATTGACTGAGGTACATCCTGATTTCAGAGTACTCAAACTATTAAAAAAATGCTTCTTTAAAGAAATACATAATTTATAACGTAGTGCCTACTGTGTGCAAGGTAATATGCCAAGTGCTACAGATATAATGGTGAGCAAAACAAACCGGGCCTAGTCCGCAAGGGGCTTACACTCAGTGAGGGAGAGGGCAGTATAGCAACCAGTCAGAGTCAAGTGTAGACTGGGACTGGAATAGGACAGGGGTCCACACACAGCCACTGGGAAGAGAATGTCACACAGGAATACAGGTACAAATGAAATGCTTGTATCACTGTAGCTCCAAGGAGCCTCAGCAGTAAATGCAAATGCAACGCTCTTCACACAGGCCCTGGGAGATTTTAGACCTAAGCAGCTGGACAGTGTATAAGAAAAGTTAAGAGAAAGAGAAAAGGCATATAGAGGCTGAAGGCAACCACAAGGCTGAATGCCCAGGCGTGGTCAACAGCACTACCCACGGGCCTCCTGCAAGAGACGGCAGACAGTCCAGGACATGAAAGCTAGTGTTTTAGAAAGAGTAGACATTTCGCTCTACTCTGTAATTCCTTGCCAATATCATCTAAAAGTAAAAGGATGCTAAACTAAGATCTCCTTAAAACTGACATTTAAATTCAAGTACAGCTGGGGACCAAAAGAGGACCAAGGGTAACAGGAACACTGCACAGAAGAGAACAAGTTAGAAAGCAAAGATGCCATGACATGACAGTAACCATAGAGACATGAGCAGGCACACCACAGTGCGCACGTGTCTTGGAGAACAGCCGGGAGGAAAGGCCCTGCAGAGACTTCCTGCACTGTGGGGACAGACTGCTTGTCTGTGTTTTCTAATCTGTCTACAAATGAGCCATTTATTTTCTGTGGTCAAAAAACTTAAGGGGTTTTGTGTGTTTAAAACAACATACGAGAGACAAATGCATTCAAGTATACAAGAGAAAAAAGTCCACCTTTTCTGACTCAGCCACATCAGTTCTCCCAAATTCTAACGACTCCTTGGCACTCTCAACCTTCTTATCCACAGGCTTTACTCCAAGTGGTGCCTCCTTCTCTTCTTCGTCGCTGAACAGCAAAGGTGGTGCTTTAGAGACAGTCTCTTTTTTCTACCAAAAGAAGAGTACATGACATCCACAACAATAAAAAAGTGTGTCTGACCAGCACGGCCATATACAGAACAAGCCCAAACCATCCTCTTAGGGTTTCAGCTAAATGTGATGAAGGAAGAGAGGACAGGATAGGGAAGGTGGCACCAAAAGGGAGAAGCAACAAACATCATCACCTGGGACTTGGGGATAGGGCACTTCACACCATCGCATCACCTGTATCTGTCTACTCGTGTCTGTCAACCCCCATGCCTCCCTCACTCAGATCCTTACCTCTGCTACCAGACGATTATGAGTCTCTCTCTCTCTGCCTCATTCCTCTTATATTTCAACTAGAAGACATCACCCAGAGTTGTCTTGCTAAAACAAGACACCTGCTGGATCACGTCCTCTCCCAACCCAAACCTGCACTCCTTGCATGAAGCAAATGACACTTAGCAGACACCCCATTCTATCCCTCTACTCATGTGCATCTCCTCATTCTTTACTGTTCCTTAAAGTCACTGCAAACTTTCAAACTCCCATATCATGCTGCCCTCGATGTCTGTAGAAGCAAATCCTCCTCATCCTTCAAGCAAGGCCCCCACTCAGATGTCACCCATAGTCTCTGTTCTCTTAAGTGTCAAGTTGCTTTGTTGAATAAGCATATTTATCTCTACGTGACTCTTCCTTGACTTTCTTCCTAATTATATAACAGCTAGCACACATCTGTTTGTCCGTTCATCTGAAAGGACTATACACTATAATTTCATGGCCTGTCCCGGCGTTTTATACCAACTCAGTGTTCAATACAAGCCTGCAAGCACTTTAGCCCATTTCTCATCTCTTCCTTATCAGAGAGGCAGGGATTTGGGGACTAGGAAACTGAGGTTTGTGACTTACCTGGAATTCATGGCATCTTTGGGGCAAGTGACTTATCAACAAGTTCTTGAGAAAAAACTAAAGCTCTATCATAGTATAGTACAGATACAAATCATACCATATGACATGAGGAAGTGTGAAGTGTGCTTTGAGGCAATGCCTAAATTAAGTTAGGAAGGCAGATTTGGGAAACTAAGGAAGGACATTGCTAATCATGATTTTAAAATGTGATGAATGAAGAAAGAAGAGAGCAAGGGAATTTTTAGTTAGGAAGAGATAAGTAAAGTACAAAACCATTGAACTTGACATAAAAGAACACTGGAAGCTCATGAAGAATTTCAGAAGAGATAAAGCAACAGTGAAGTGATTAAAGGAAAACGCTTTTGTGGAACATCCTGGACTCACTGAAAACTACATAAAAATTCAATGCAGGCCAGGCGCATTGAAACCATTTTCTGTGGTTTAAGGACCTTAGTTGTATATGAAGGAAGAATATGATTTGCCATACTTAAGTCTCTTTTTGTCTCCTCTATCAACTAGTTGCATTGAAAATTTTTTTTTTTTTTTTTTTTTTTTTTTTGAGCAGAGTCTTGCTCTGTCACCCAGGCTGGCGTGCACTGCGCAAAGATCTCGCTCACTGGACTCTCGTTCAGCTACTGTAATCCCAAGCACTTTGGGAGGCCCGAGGTGGCAGATCACTGAAGTCCAGGAGATCGAGGCCATCTTGGCTAACGTTGGTGGTGAACACCCTATCTCTACTAAAGAAATACAAAAATTAGCCGGGCGTGGTGGCGGCATCTGCAGTCCCAGCTACTCGGGAGGCTGAGGCAGGAGAATGGGCGTGAACCCGGGAGGTGGGAGCCTGCAGTGAGCCGAGATCTCGCAGTGCTGCCAGCCTGGGCGACAGAGCGAGACTCCGTCTCAAAAAAAAATTTCAATGCAACTAGTTGATAGGGGAGACAAAAAGAGACTTAAGTATGGCAAATCATATTCTTCCTTCATATACAACTAAGGTCCTTAAACCACAGAAAATGCTACGCAAAGTACCAATTTTCATCTTCTTGAAGGCAAGCTAACTACTCATCCTTGTCATGAAATTTACTTTCTGTTTTTCTTTTTTTTTTTTTGAGATGAAGTCTTGCTCTGTTGCCCAGGCTGGAGTGCACTGGCACAATCTCAGCTCACTGCAAAATCTGTCTCTTGGGTTCAAGTGATTCTCCTGCCTCAGCCTCCCTAGTAGCTGGGATTACAGGTGTGCATCACCATGCCCGGCTAATTTTTGTATTTTTAGTAGAGATGGGGTTTCACCATGTTGGCCAGGCTGGTCCCAAACTCCTGACCTCAGGTGATCCACCCACCTCGGCCTCCCAAAGTGCTGGGATTACAGGTGTGAGCCACCACGCTTGGCCAAATTTACTTTCTTGATAGGTGTCAGAAAATAAGGAAAGTCTGATGGGAAAAAAAAAAGCAATTGTCTAAAATGGCTGCATCTTGGCCATATGGGTAATAGAAACCGGGCCTATGAACGAAAGCTGAACCTCGCCTGCAAGGCCAAAGTCTGTCAAATATCTCACTGACATGTACTGATTACAACCTGCCTATCAGATGAAGCACAAAGGCAGCACAAAATCAACCATCCCTCTCCTGACCCTGGGACCCCTATGTACTCATTAGGGCAAAAGGCTAATGAGTAAAATAAGTTAACCACATATTTTATCTTATATACAATGTCACTGAGCACCAATCAGAACTGTTAAGAACATCACCTTTGCTTCACTGCCCCCTTCTCCCATTTTCTGTGTAACAGAAATGTATAAAGGCTGTGTTCTCAGTTTGTGCAGTCTCTTTACTGGGCTAGTAGTTCTCAAGCTTGGCTCAGAACAAAACTCCCATTACATTTTTTAAGTTCTCCTGCCTGTTGTTTAACCTTTTGGTCAACATAGGCTTACAACCAAGTCACAATTAACTTACACGGAAATATCTTTTATTTACTATTGCCTAAGATGATTATCAAAAACGTGCAGGCTATTCAGCTACTTAAGCTGTGTGTCTTGACCTTTTGTTTTATTTAACAATCATAATTTCCAATAGGTTGAAAGAAGTTTTATAGCTCCAGAGGCTGCAAAATTCATTAATTTATAGTTCAGTTATCCTCCAGAGTAGGTTATTTATAATTTACAAAGAAAAACCAATCAGATCTCCTGACTCTTAACTGTACAGCCACTGGATGTCCTTAAAGGGCGAGACCCAAGGAAAGGCTCAGGAGCCCCATAGAAGCAGCAGCAGGGAACCTGGGGCCCAGGGTGGGCAGCGTGCTGGTCCTGGGCTGAGAGCTTCTGACATAAGCTGTGCAACTCCATTTAACACGAAGAGTCTTCTTCCACATCTCCTAGATATTTTTTGTTTGGAGTTTATTTCAAATTCCACAGTAATGCACAAATGCCTTCTTTAAAAAGGCTTTAAAAAGGCATTGAGAGTATAAAGTCCCCCATTCCATACCTTTCCCTGGGTATAATCACCAGTAACAATGTGCTGTCGATCCTTTCAAGCTGGTTTCCAGGCATTCACACGTATGTCTTTTTTTTTTTTTTTTAAATTTAAATGACACCATGTTATACGTGTTTATGCATCTTCTTCTTCTTCCTCTTTTTTTTTTTCTTTTTTTTTTTTTCCTGGCCTGCAGTAGTTTTTCATCCCATAAGCTCTACCTTGGGTTTTTTCACCACTATATAGTATTCCACAGTCTAATTATACTAGGACCTGTATGACCATTTCTCCACTGATGGAGTATAATGGCCTCAAGGTTCATGCATTTTGTAGCACATGTGAGAATTTCCTTTCTTTTTACTGATTAGCTAATATAAACCAGTGTTAGTACTTGACACACACTCATAAAAGGAATGATTTTGCCTTAACTAGCCTAGTCTAATGTTCCATGCCAATGGGGACAAGACTCTTCTAAGATCCAGTTTCTTGTTCCTACACCTGACACTGAATGATGGCTTTGCACATGTGCTTCTTCTGTAGAATACTATTAATCAGAAGATCTCTTTCTGAAACTAGGCAAATAAGGTCTTCCATAAGACTCAGCCTCCAAGGTTAGGCATGAAGAGCTGATTCGGGGAAGCACCACTACTGATGCAGCATAAACTCAAGGACATTTCCTGGGACAAAGAGATGAAGAATACCGTTGTTGCAGGAGGAACAGATGTAGGAGGAGAGCCAAACAGAGACCCTCCGCTATCAACATCGTCTTCAAAGAGGAGTGACACTCTCTGGGTCTTCTTTTGGCTACACAAACAAACAAAAGGTCAAATTAAGGAAAAGTGTGATGAAAAAAACAAACATAACAATATTTCTTTTAGACTGCACCTACAGGAACCCACCTACCACCCAAACACCAAAGCCATGAGTTGACCTTACACAGTTGAAAGCAAACAAGAAAGACCTTTGAAATAGACGAAATCTGTCTCCAGCAAATCACCAGCCTCTGTCCCTCACGTCTCAGGTTGCCCCTCTCCTCTTACTATCCAGTGCAGGTGCACCAGCTGTTACCTCTGCAAGGCACATGATGCCTGAGCCTTCCTAAGCAGAACATTCTCTGCCACTTCCTACAGCACAAAAAGAACCAGAGAGGACATGTCTATTTCGAGCACTGTCAGGAAGACGGTTGCCAAGAGAGATCACAGGGCGGGGATCAGCACTGGGAAATGACCCTGTGGCCTGGCTTCTATTTCTTTTTCTAAGTAGTGTTATTGAGACATAATTTACATACCATAAAATTCACTTTTTATTTATTTTTAATATTTATTTTACTTTTTAAGACAGGGTCTTACTCTGTTGCTCAGGTTGGAGAGCAGCGGCACAATCGTATCTCACTGCAGCCTCAAATTCCTGAACTCAAGTGATCCTCCTGCCTTAGCCTCTCAAATAGCTACAGCTACAGGCACACATCACCATGCCTGGCTAATTGTTCTACTTTTTTGGAGAGGTGAGGTTGCTCTGTGTTGCCTAGGCTGGTCTCAAACACCTGGCCTCAAGAGATCCTTCCATCTGGCCTCCCAATCAGTCAGGATTACAGGCATGAGCCATTGCACCTGGCCAAATTCACCCTTTAAAAGTGCATACTTCAGTGGTATTTTCAATATATTCATCGAGTTGTGTAACTATCACTACAACCTAAGTGCACAACACTATCATGAGCCCAAAAAGAAACGCCATGCCTATGAGCAATCACTCTCCATTCCCCCAGCCCCACAGGCCCTGACAACCACTGATCTACTTTCTGTCTCTATGGTGTATCTATTTTATACATTTCATATAAATGGAACAATACAATATGTGGTTTTCTGTGACCGGCTTCTTTCAAGTAACAAAATTTTCTAGGTTCATTCATGTTCTAGGATGCATCACTACCTTACTCTTTTTTATTGCTGAAGAATAGTCCATTATACGGTTATACATTTTTTTATCCAGTCATCAGCTGATGGACATTTGGGTTGTTTACACTTTTGGCTGTTATGACTAAGGTTGCAATAAATACTCATGTACAAGTTTTTACATGAACAACTGATTTCATTTCTCTTATGTATATACATAGCAATGAAACTATTGTGTCATATGGTGACCTATGTTTAACATTTTGAGGCAACGTCAAACCATTTTCCAAAGTGACTATACCATTTTACATTCCCACCAGCAGTGTATGAGGGTTCCAATTCCTCCACATCCTCAAGCAAATTTCTTCTTGTGTGTATAAAGCTTCTTTTGAGATCTGATGAAGGTATGAATTATTTTCCATACATAAAACTTGACAGAGAACTTCAGGAACAATAGGAGGTAGGATATATCTGGAGCAGAGAAAACATTCCTGAAAGCCAGGTATGGTGTGTGGCTGGAACCAGGACCCACAAACAAGATGGGACTCAGACTGCCAGATTTATGACCTTGTGTGGGGTGTAGGGGTAGGGAGTGCTCATGGGAGCAAGCTAACCTCGATACAGTGTAGAAAATGCTCAGCTGAGGGTGTGGGGGTATGAAGGTGGAGCCACGTCCGCCCTCGACTCCCTATTTCTTCTCTTTCTCATCTGTTTAAAGTTAGTGAAGGCAATCTTTTTTTTTTTTTTTTTTTTTAGATGGAGTCTCCCTCTGTTGCCCAGGCTGAAGTGCAGTGGCGAGATCTTAGCTCACTGCAACTTCTGCCTCCAGGTTCAAGCGATTCTCCTGCCTCAGTCTCCCAAGTAGCTGGGATTACAGGAGCGTGCCACCACACCCTGCTCATTTTTGTATTTTTAGTAGAGATGGGATTTCACCATGTTGGTCAGGCTGGTCTTCAACTCCTGACCTTGTGATCCGCCCTCCTCAAGTGCTGGGATTATAGGCGTGAGCCACTGTGCCCGGCTGGGAAGACTTCTTAAGAAACAAGACTTACACTAAGGTTTGGAGAAGGTGGCCAGGTAACATAGGAAGAAGAATGTCCCAGGAGAGAGCAACAAAAATAAAGGAATGTACTATTTCCCTGCACTTACGGTGCTAACTGGTAACACCTGAATGCTCAGAATGTGCCAGCTATTGTGCTAACCATTTCACATTTAGATTCCATCTCATCATCCCAACAAACCCATGAGAGAAGTACTATTTTAATTTTTGCTTAACAAATGAGGAAACTGAGGCACAGGGAAGTTAGGTAACTTGCCCAAGGTGATTCAGACAGGAACCAGCAGAATCAGAATTTAATATCAAGTTTCCAGAGCCTATATTCTAAATCAGAAGCCAAAGATGCACCTGAGTGTCTAGTTACAGAGGCCTAATGCAGAAATGGTAATGTTTGACAAGATCCCAGTATTTGGAGACAGAAACCTGAGGTACTTCTGAATCTATCAAATGACAACCACACCAAAGCATAGGATTTACATGTCCAATCAGTTACTTCTTTCTGCTAATAACATTCAGTTGACTTTCAAAGCAATCATGTAAGGCTCTCAAAAGGAAAAAAAGTATTTGCAGGAAGTAATTACTGTAAGCTAATCTGGCAGCATGTTACTCACAGCCCACACTCACTCTGAATGTTCTGCCAGCTTCAGTTTCAGCATTAATGTGGAGAGGCACCTAGGTGGCCAGCTATGGATTATCAGCCCCTGATGGGATACTGCAAAGCTCTGCAGGGAACTTCCTCCTAACAGGGTGTGTTAAATGCTGAGCGGATTTCTATTCAAATAACAAACTTTTTTTTTTGAGATGGAGTCTCGTTCTGTTGCCCAGGCTGGAGTGCAGTGGTGCAATCTTGGCTCACTGCAACCTCCGCCTCCCGAGTTCAAGCAATTCTTCTGCGTCAGCCTCCTGAGCAGGTGGGACTACAGGCACGTGCCACCAAGCCCGGTTAATTTTTATATTTTTTCAGTAAAGACCAGGTTTCACCATATTGGCCAGGCTGGTCTTGAACTCCTGACCTCCTGATCCACCTGCCTCGGCCTCCCAAAGTGCTGGGATTACAGGCGTGAGCCACCGCAATGTGCCTCAAATAACAAACTTTTAAGTAATCCTGACCAAACCTGACAGATTTTAGAGTAGCCTGGAGAAAAATCACAAACGAAAGATACCAAACTATACTCAAATCCCTGACAAACAAAGAAAAAGAATACTTTAACGTTAAAAAAAAAAAAAATGATGGGGGAAGAAATCAGATAAGGATCCATGAAGACGAACATTTCCGGGTACTGAGGGAAAAGATGGTGCCAGTGAAAAGCAAAGACATTCTCATTGGTGCAATGACTATGTGATCTGTGATTAGCAATTACCCAAGGAACTAGTTTGTGCATCAAATTCCTCTTCTTGTTACCACAGACACAGAGTGAGGGATTCTTTACGATGACTATCTCACCTGTCCTTAGCAATGGCAAACAGATCATCTTCTTCGTCTTCCTCAAAGAGACTTGTCTTTTTCACAGCCTTGGCCTCCTGGCCCTGGAGGGTCCCAGAATCCCTGGGTTCTCCTTTAGACCTGCTGTCAGATGCTGAGTGGGTCTGTGAAGCAGGAATATTCCACTGGTCCTTAAAATATAAAATATATATTAAAACTCCAGGCCAGGTGTGGTGGCTCACGCTTGTAATCCCAGCACTTTGGGAGGCCGAGGTGGGCGGATCACGAGGTTAGGAGATTGAGACTACACTACAGAATTTGTTTATTCATTCATCTATTGATTGACATTTGGGTTGTTTACACTTTTGGCTGTTATGACTAAGGTTGCAATAAATACTCATGTACAAGTTTTTACATGAACAACTGATTTCATTTCTC